GTGCAGGGTTGCTATGAGTCAGAACCGACTCCACCACACATAATTACAACAGCAACATGCTGCAAATGTGGGGAAATGAGACAAATCCATTTCCTTCATAACAAAGGCTTATGGCGAATTGAAAAAATATATATAAATTATCCTAAAGAGTTATTTTACTTAGCAAGCAAAAGAAGTACATGTTTCTGTTTCCATGTGTTTGCATATAATGTTAGTTGTACCATACTTTTAAAAATAATTTAAATATATTTTAAATTGAGGAATATGACTTAAATATAAATTAAATAAAGGCAAATTTGCTTATACTTGCACTGCTCAAAGAAAATGAATCGACTCATTACTTACCAAGAACTTTTTAAAATATGCTATTGTTAGGTGCCGTCAAGTCAACTCTGACTCATAGTGACCTTGTGCACGCACAACAGAAGGAAACACAACCTAGTCCTAAGTCATGGTGCAATCCTTCTTGTAAGTCTTCCTATACTTCTTCCAAGACAGATCTGTTTGTTCTTTTGGCAGACGATATAACCTTGATTGCTGGAAGTGAAAAGGACTTAGAACACTACTGATGAAGAGCAAAGACTACAGCCTTCATTATGGATTGTATCTCAGATTCTCACAACTGCACCAATAAATTACATCATGATAAATGGAGAAAAGAATGAAGTTGTAAAAGACTTCATTTTGCTTGGGTTCACAATTAACACTCATAGAAGCAGAAATCAAATGATGTACTGCATTAGGAAAACATGCTGCAAATGACCTCTTTAAAGTGTTCAAGGAGCAAAGATATCAGTTTGAGGACTTAAGTGTGCCTGACTCGAGCCATGGTATTTTTAATAGCCTCAGATGCATGTGGAAAATGGACAATGAATAAGGAAGAGAATAGAAGAATCTGTGCATTTGAATTATGGTGTTGGAAAAGAATATTAAAAGTACCATGGACTACCAGAAGAACAAACCTATGTTGGACACAGTATAGCTAGAATGCTCTTTAAAAGCCAGGACAGTAAGACTTCATCTCACATATTTTGGTCATGTTATTAGGAGGGACCAGTCCCTGAAGGACATCATGCTAGGAAAAGAGGAGGGTCAACAACATAAAAGACTCCTAAGGAGATGGGTTAACACAGTGGCGGCAGCAGTGGGCTCAAATGTAACAATTGTGAGGATGGCACAGACCTGGGATGTGTTGTGCACTGAGTATTTATGAATCAGAACTGACTCAAGGACACATGACAACAATCCTCAAGGTGACACTTTGGCTCCCATAGACTTGTTTTTAATTTTCTTCAACTTCAATTTGAACTTGGAATATGAGCAACTGTTGGTCTGTTCCACAGTAGGCCCATGGCATTGTTCAAACTGATGATGTATGTGCTTCTACATCATCCCTTTCCACATATGTAGTCAATTTGATACCTGTGCCATCCATCTTTGATGTCCATATATATAGTTAGTATGTATGTTGTTGGAGAAAAAAAAGGTATTTCCAATGAACCATTGCTCTTCCAAAATTCTATTATGTGATTTCAAGTGTAGGTTTCTGTCACCGAGTCCATATTTTCCAACTACCAATCCTTTAACTTTGGTTCCAACTTTTACATTCCTGTCACCACTAACTATTAATGCATATTTATTGCATATTTGTTCAATTTCAGACAGCAAAAATTAGAATAATCATTTTCTTCATCTTTGACATTAGTTTTTGGTGCATAGATTTGAAAAATAATCATATTAACATGTCTTCCTTGTGGGTATATGAACATCATCCTGATACTGATGGTATTGTACTGCAGGATATATCTTGAAACATTCTTTTTACCAATGAATGTGGCATCATTCCTCTTTAATTTTTCATTCCTACACAGTATATGATCGTCTAATTCAAAATGGTCAACAACAGTCCAATTCAGCTCACTAATGCCTAAGACATCTATCTTTATGTGTTTCATTTCATTTCTGATGACTTCTAATGTTCATAGATCCATACTTTGTACATTTCACATTCCAATTACTAATGGATATTTGCAGCTGTTTCTTCTTGTTTTGAAGTCATCAGCAAATGAAGATCATGAAAGCTCTTCTCCATCCGTATCATTAAGGTAGATTTTACTTTGAGGAGCAGCTCGTGCCCAGTTGTATTTTGAGTGACTTCCAACCTGAAAGGCTCATTCTCTGCCACTATATCAGACAATGTTCTATTGCTATTCATAACATTTTCTCTGCCCCCCATTTTTTTTTTTCTGAAGTAGATTGGCAGGTTATCTTTCCTAGTCTGTCTTAGTCTGGAAGCTCCACTGTAAATTGTCTACCATGAATGACCCTGTTGGTATTTGAAAGAGTGGCATAACTTCCAACAACACACACACCACCACATTATAACAAACTGACAGATAAATGGTGGAGTAAGTGGTAGAATTGAGATTTTATTTTAGATAGTCTGGCTTAGAAACTGAATCTTAAATAGGATACTATATGGCCTGCCAAATGTGATGACACAACTTTTCTTAGCTTCAAGGAAAGAAATTTAAGAATATTTCTTTCCAAGTGTTTAATTCTTGGGAAATTCAACGGATGGCTTGTGATATGAGTAACATTCTATAACATCACAAAAACGTATCATTATTTACTGTTTTGCACATGATTCGAATGTGTTCTTCAAAATAATATTTTTCCATAAGCATCAATAAAAATGATTTAAATAAGAACTTGTCAAACATAGCTAATGTGATTTGAAATCCAGATTTCACTGAAATCCAGTGAATTGCATTGCAAATTTGATGTGATTTCTGTTTTATTTACTTCATAGCATTTGAAACAGTCTACAATTATCTTGTTTAGATATTTAATTGCAAACAGATGCTGTTCTGGGGCAGAGCAAAGACTGTGATCTGTGGCCTCACTTGTTCGGTCTACTTTGACCTCGTCTTTTGCAATGTTTTAGCCCTATGAGCAGCATACGTGTAAAGGATAGCACTCACTGCATTTCGAGCTCAAGGGATGGAGTAGTATATTTATTCAGGAATGGCTGGGCAGGCCAGGGAATTTCATTCATTAACAAGAATTCTATGAAATTTCAAGTTCAAAAATTACTTTTTGAGTTATGAATATAGGTCTACATTAAAACTAGAACTTGTTTGCTCAAATATTTTCTATAACAGAGAACTGTAGCAGAAATAATAACTTTGAGACTTTTTTTCAAATGAAATTGATTGCTCTTCTAAATGTTGGTCTCAAAGGTATAGAACCACTACCAACCTTATCATTTACATCCCCAGGCCACTGAATCTCTTATTTCTCCCATAAACTTTCCCCCCTGCTGCACCACACCTGAGGGTCTTTGCTCTTACTCGTTCCTCTGCCTCTATACTTTTACCCCACCCTTCTCTCTGCCTTCAAGTTTCAACTCAGAGCCAACCACTCCTCAGATTCTCACCACACCATGTTCTCCCTTTGCTTTTGTACTTACTGTATTATATTTAAGGAGTTCTGGTAGCATAGTAGGTTTACAAGATGGGCTGCTAACCACTAGGTCAGCAGTTCAAATCTACCAGGCACTCCATGAGAGAAAGATGAGGCTTTCTGCTCCCATAAAGATTTACAGCCTCAGAAACCTAATACAGGGTCACTATGAATCAGAACCAACTCGATGGCTCACAGCAACCCCCATATTATATTTAATCATCTAAAAGTGGGCTTCGAAAAGTTCATGGAAAAATTTCTCTCTCTTTTAATTCCATTTTTCCAAAAACTCTTTGAAGTTCCCTCATATTTATACAATGTTGAGTTATATTAAAACACCTGTCCACAGCCAACACTGATGATGACATTGAGCATGCACATGAAATGATTCTGTTGAAATGATGAGTGACAGGGGATGATGTGGCAAATCATTTGCAAATCAGCCATGACTCTGCCTATGAAATAACCCATGACAAACTTGGGTTTTAAAAAGTTTGTGCAAGATGAGTACCGAAACAACTCATGCAAAAGCATAAACAGAAGCATTTGGATGGACTGATACTTGAAGGAAAGTAAAAGTTTCTTTAAAAAATCGTTACTAGTGACAAGATGTGGATTCATCACTATGAACCTGAGAGTAAATGGCACAGTATGGAATGGAAACAAAAGTCAACCATCAGCTGGAAAATTGATGCTTAGAGTTTTGTGGGATTCTCAAGGGTCAGTATTGGGACACTATCAGGTAAAAGGTTCAACAATCAACAGTGCTCGCTACAGTGAGTGTCTCACTGAAGAACTGAAGCCTAAACTTCAGATTAAATGCAGAGGACTCCTATCCAAGAGCATTCTGATCTTGCATGACAGTGCACGTCCCCACGCCTCTGCCACACTGTTGACACTGCAAAAACCTTGTTTTGAGGTATTCAAATATCCTCCCTATAGTCCTGATCTTCTTCCATTAGATTTTCACCTGTTTGGTACACTTAAAGCAGCCTTTCAAGGACGAAAGTTAACCTCTGATGAAGAAGTGAAGACAGCTGTGCCTTCGTGACTCACAGCTCAGCCTAAAACATTTTTTTAAAGAAGGGAATATGAAAGCACGTTGACAGATAGACAAAGTATTGAGAAGCAAGGCGATTATGTCAAAAATGATGTATTTGTCTTCTAAAAGTTGATTAAAATAAGTTCTAGAGCCAGCATGCAGACAATTTTTGACTCACCACCCCCCCCCCTTTTCTATCTCTCCCACGAAGCTATAGGTAATTCCTTGACAGCAAGAACCACGCCTTACTTATTTTTTACCCACAGTTCCTGGCATGTCAGCTGAGCTCAATAAATATTGATTGAAATGAATCCTGTTGCCAATAAGCTGGAGCTCACTCTCTCTGATCGCTATTCTGTCCGTAAAACTCCCGGAAATGCCCAATACAGTCTAAGTGACTTTACTTTTCAGTCCTTCTGAGAATGAAATTTTTTGTTCTCTTTCTTTCCAGGAACCTCTTTCTGGAAGATAATAAAAAAAAAAGGGAGGAATCATGTCTGTGATTTCAGCTTTCTATGGTGGCAAGTCCATTCTCATCACAGGGGCCACAGGCTTCATGGGCAAAGTGTTGATGGAGAAGCTGTTTCGCACCAGCCCTGACCTGAAAGTCATTTACATCCTTATGAGACCCAAGGCTGGCCAGACCCTGCAGCAGAGACTTTCCCAGATCCTAAACAGTAAGGTAGGATTTATGGGAAGGGCCTTACATGATGGACAATGCTTTAGAGCAAGATGACCTAACTACAGTTGTTTATTGTAGTCCTAAACTGCAAGTAGGGGACCAGGTAGAGGAAAGGAGACAACACCAGATGTTGTTGTTATGTGCCGTGGAGTCAGTTCCGACTCATAGCGACCCTGTGCAGGGTTTCTGAGGCTGTAAATCTTTACAGGAGCAGAAAGCCTCATCTTTCTCCTGTGGAACAGCTGGTAGTTTTGAACTGCTCACCCTGAGGTTCGTAGCCTGATTCGTAACCACTACACTACCAGAGCAGATAGCAACATTAAATTATACTCATCAGTATCAGTGATGTTGCCCCATAAGTGGTGAAACAGTGCTCAGAATTCCATCTAGAGTAAGTGAGGAAATCATCTATATACTGGAAATTACTATTTAAGTGACAAAACTGTAAAACTTCCAAAGTGGAAAACTTCAGATGGAAATCTGTCAGAGTTCACTCAAAGTAGTCTCAAGTTTTCGTTCAGATTTAAGGGTTGGTTTTCTTTTCCCAAAAAATCATTTACATTTTATTGCATTTCATATGGACATATAGGACTGCTTTGTAACCATGCATTAATACTTTCAGTAGTCTAAGCGTCACAGTGCTTACCTAGTATATATTTTATCTGTGAAAACTTGATCATCATCTGGTGTAGTGCTGAGGGTTACTGAGCTGGACTACAAAATTGGTTAGAACCACAAGGTCCACGGTTCAAGTTCACCAGTCACTCCTAGGGAACCCTATACAGGATCGCTATGAGTAGCTACTGACTCAACCTTACTTAATAGTATATTTATATGATCTCATAAATCCTTATAAGGTAAAAACACTGCTAATGAAATATACCTTAGACTTACCATTTTATAAATATCTAATCTTCTTGCTCCTCTAAAAGTAAATACTATCCATATTTACGCATGGTTTAATTTATAAATTTGAAGTCAATTTAGACTTTGTACTCAAACATATCTGGGTTCAAATTGTGGTGTGTCAGTTTGTTATATGATCTTGAAAATATTACTTTACATCTTAAGTTCCAGTTTTCCAATGTTTAAAATGGAACAAATAACAACTACCTCCTAGTATTCCCATTTTTAAGACTTGAATAAGAAAATGTAAATATCTGGGTCATAATGTGCCCTTTAGAATGGACAGGATCATCTATGGCTTGGCAAACTTAAATGGATCATTTTCTGTCTTTACAAAGTCTTCTTTCCAGTGTTTAAGAATGTTAACATCAAATGGCATATATATGATAAAAGAAAAAGAAAAAAAAAAAAAACACGCTACCACTGGATCAATTGCGACTCATAGAAACCTTATATAGAATTTTCTAGACTGTAAATCTCTAGGGGAACAGAGTGGTTTGTGGGTTTGAACTGCTGACTGTGTAATCACCTAGCCTACAGCACCACTAAGACTCCTTATATATCTGATAGCACAGCACATCATCAACTATCCAGTAAAACTCATGGTCAGATTTATCTGCTGGGTCAGATTTTGATACAAATCACCATTAAGAGAATCAGAAAACTCTCTGGTATCTCACAGCCTTACACAGCAGTGGCACAAATTATAAAAATAGCTATTATTTACTGGAAGCGTACTATATGACAGTGTTCAAAGGATTTTTCATGCCTTACATCACTTATAGAGTCCTGGTGTGGCGCTGTGGGTTAATGCTCCAGACTGCAAAGCCGTTTGAACTACAAGGTCGGCGGTTCAGGCTCATCAACAGCTCCTCAGAAACCCTATACTGGGTCACTATGAGTTGGAATAGACTCAAAGGCATTTAACAACATAACAGCAACAGATGTCAAGCAGAGCCATGGTGGCACAGTGGGTTAAGCAGCTGCTCAGAGAAGAAAAGATAAGGCTTTCTGCTCTGGTAAACATTTTACAGCCTCTGAGACCCAATGGAGCAGTCCAAAACAGCTGTCAGAATCAATTAGAAGGCAGTAGGATTCTTTGATTACTGTTGTTTTTTAGGCATCAAGCAATGTAACACATTAAAGTAATGACAATGAAAAGGCCTTAGATCTAAATGTTACAGGGAAAAGAATTTTGGAGAAAATGTGCTGTTTTTTACAAACTCAAAATATTTGAGAAATTGATATTTGTTTGCCAAACATAGAATGCTTCTAGTCTCCCTGATTGTCAAATTAGGAAAGCAGAAAGTAAGACAGAATTATTAGGAGTTGAAAGTTTTATGAGCATATTCCCTTAAGCAATAACCATGAATTGGAAAGTTGGTTGGAATATTCCACATTTGAAATAATTAACGTGTACCTTTCCCTCAAAATTCTAACCCCAAAAAAAGTATAAAATAACAGAGGACACATCATTCTACAACAGTTACTAGGCATCGAGTCCATGCAGATTGAAATGAGCACCCCCATCTTCTAGAACAGAGCTTTTGCAAGTCTTGGTTAACATTAAAAAATACAAACACTCACTTGGACATTTTAATAGTAATGTAACACTGTTGTTAAGTGCTGTCAAGTCAGTTCTGACCCATAGCAACCCTGTATAGGGTTTCCAAAGAGCGGCTGTTGAGCCTGAGCCTCTGACCTTGTGGTTCAAACTGGTTTTGCAGTCCAGCGCATTTGTCCACAGTGCCACATCAGGAGTATATATAACTAGAAACAATCAAAATTACTAAACAATTATATCTACATATATTAAAATAGTATGCAGGCAATAAAAACCATGTTTTAAAACATATTAAATGACACAAAGAAATGCCTCTGATATATTTAGTTAAAAGATATATATAAGGTAACTAAAAGTCCTTAAGAACAAGACCCTAAAACTGATAGAGCTATAACCCTATTCAGTATTATCTTCATTAATGGACCGAAATGTTGATGTGTTATAGGACTAATTTTACTTTTCACCATTTCCAAATTCTCACATTGCAATTGTAGTGAACATATTTGGCTTTCATGTGAGGGAAAAAACATTTTTTAATAGTAAAAAAATAAGAACAGTAATCTTCTACTTTTCCAAATATAATGACAATGAACAGGCTTTACTTTTAGAGTGGAAATAATAATAGCACTTTGTAAATAGTAAATGGACTCCTGAGGTGGTTCTGTAGGACTAGCACTGGACTGCCAACCACAAAGTCTGCAGGTTAAACCCACCAACTAACTGCTCCTCAAGTCGCTCTGAGTTGGGATCAACTCAATGGCACTTAACAAATAGTAAATAACTAAGGTAGCAAAGTAAGCATAGATTTCCAAAATTACGTCACCAGGTATAAATTCAGTTCACATGCAATTTTGAAACTATTTCTAAAAATTAAATAATTTGACTGTTTTTTCTTAAACATATGAATTCATGTATTCTGCATTATTTTTCAAAAATTATCTTCTAGTTTTGCTTTGTTTTTCCACAAAAAGTGAAGTGAATTTTAGGAAATAAGCTAGATCATATGGGTTGGAGTGTGAATGTGCTCACCACAAACTAAAGCTGTTCAACTGTAGGCCTCAGGGTTCCTTCCTGGCTCCTTAGTCTCTCACTTACGAAAAATGTGTTCATGCAATCATTAACTAACCAACTTTCCATGTTAGCAAAAATAATAGTCACTCATGAGTTTACCTAAATTATTTGCCGATTTTCTGTCTTGAATATGGCTTTGCCTAGAAAGTCAACATTCTTCCCCCACTATAAGAGACGTTGTTGTTGTTAAATGCTGTTGTGTCAGTTCTGATTCATAGGGTTTCCAAAGAGCAACCAACCGGTGGGTTTGAACTGCAGACCTTTTGGTTAGCAGCCCAGTGCTTATCCTACAATGCCAAAACCATCAATTGGTGAAATTCAAAGAAATGTTAACAGTATATTGAGGTTCCTTAGTGCTAACTGAAAAACAGTTCAGTGGTTCAAAAGCCCCAGTTACTCTTTGGGAAGGACGACATGGCAATCTGCTCCTACAGACTTACAGCATAGGAAACCCAACAGAGCCCTTCTACTTTGTCATTTAGAGTAGTTAATGAGTCAGAATTGACTCAATGGCAAACGGCAGGACCACAATGATGTGTTTGTTTGTTTTTTATATCTATCAGGTCCCATGTATGTCCATTAAGGGATCTTAAGTCAGTAATCATCTACTCCAAACAATTCCTTAAGAAAAGATCACAAAGACAATTATCCAAATCATATCTGGAAACTGAATCCCCAAGTAGATAAAATTATTTAAGAGTAACAACAAGTTTCTCATCTGGAAAGAGAATGTAGTGGTTCTGCAGGATAAGCAATAGGACTGCAAACCACTCTGTCAGCAGGTTGAGCCCACAAGCTGCTCAGAGGAAGAAAGATGACACTTTCTCCTACTGCAAAGATTTAGCCTTGGAAACCCTATACAGGGTCTCTATAAGTTGAAACCAACTCAGCACCACTTAACAACAACATTGCACCTCATTATGATGGATGGTGAGCACAGAATTTTAAAATGTTCCATTGAGAGGAGATCAAAAATGGTGAAGTTATTCATAGTAAGCTATGTTGTTATTAAATGCTGTTGAATCTGTTCCAACTCATAGCCACCTGGTATAGGATTTTCAAGGAGCATGTGATGGGTTTGAACTGCCACCTTGTGGTTAGCAGTCCAGTGCTGATCCTACAGTATGTAATAACTAAACAAAATCCAAGGTTTCCAGCGAGGTAATATTTTGAATGATGTTAGTCAGTAAATGGATTTATAAACAAAGAGAGAGTCTGGCAAGTTGTACTGGATACCTCAAGTGAACTTCTTTGGAAGAATGTGGATTACTCAATAAGTCCTCTGTTGTCCTGAGGAATGTCAACTTAGAAATACCCTGGAGATCTTTGGGTAATAAATTATGTGGAGACACACACTGGGGTAATAAATCATGTGGGGCCAGTTCACTGACCATGATTAAGTTTAAGATTTAAGACAACAGAAGATAGTAACATTTTATAGAATAGTTTATTGTATTCT